AGATGCGAACAGGTCGATCTGGGGAAACCCCCACCTCTGGAAGACGGAATAGATGATGTCCGGGCGAATCGACCACTCGTGCGTCTGGAAGGACCTGCTGAGACGGTCCGCCAGCGTATTCTGGACTCCAGGCAGGAATGACGCCGTGAGATGTATCGAGTGGGCGATGCAGAAGTCCCACAGGCGAATGGCCTCTTGGCATAGGGGAGATGAGCGGGCTCCACCTTGCTTGTTGATGTAAAACATGGCCGTGGTGTTGTCGGTGAGAATCAGCACGCAACGGCCCTGTAGGAAGTTGAGGAAAGCCTGACAAGCCAGGCGCACCGCCATCAGCTCTCGGACGTTGATGTGCAGGGCTAGTTGGGACGTGGACCACAGGCCTTGGGTATGGTGCTCCCCCAGGTGAGCGCCCCATCCTAGAGATGAAGCGTCCGTAACTAGGTGGAGGGAGGGCTGTGGGGCGTGAAAGGGCACTCCTGCACAGACCGCCGTGCGATCCGTCCACCAGGTGAGGGAGGCCAAGACCGAGGCCGGAACCGTGACCACCATGTTCAGGTCGTCTCGATGAGGACGGTAAACCGATGACACCCAAGTCTGCAGTGGGCGAAGTCGCAGCCTGGCGTGCCTGGTTACGTAGGTACACGAGGCCATGTGGCCCAAAAGGGCAAGGCATGTTCTTATGGTGGTAATTGGGAAGGCCCTGAGTCCTTGAATGACGCTTGAGATGGTATGAAAGCGGCTGTCTGGCAGGATGGCTCGGGCACGTCTGGAGTCCAGGATTGCTCCAATGAACTCTATTCTCTGAGTTGGTACTAGAGTGGACTTCTCTCTGTTGAGTAGAATGCCCAGCTCGTGGAAAGTGTGTGTCACTATGTGGACATGAGTCTGCACTTGGTCTCTGGTGCGGCCGCGTACCAGCCAGTCGTCCAAGTATGGGAACAGCTGTATCCCTTGTCGACGAAGGAAGGCTGCGACGACTGCCAGACACTTTGTGAACACCCTGGGAGCCGAGGACAAGCCGAAGGGAAGGACTGCGAATTGGTAGTGCACCCTGTTTACTACAAATCGCAGGAAGCGCCTGTGGGGCGGATAAACCGCTATATGGAAATAAGCGTCCTTCATGTCGAGGGCGGCGAACCAGTCTCCAGGATCCAGTGAAGGGATGATGGTCCCCAATGACACCATGCGGAACTTCAACTTTACTATGAATTTGTTGAGTCCGCGCAAGTCTAAGATGGGCCGTAGACCCCCTTTTGACTTGGGTATCAGGAAGTAGCGGGAGTAAAACCCCCTGCCCCTTAGCTCCGATGGAACCTCCTCTATGGCCCCCATAGCGAGGAGCCCAAAAACCTCCTGTGTAAGGAGTTGCTCGTGAGAAGGGTCCCTGAAGAGGGACGGGGAGGGGGAGTGGGGGGGGGCGAGGAAAACTGGAGGGCGTATCCCCTCTCCACCGTGCGAAGGACCCAGCGGTCCAATGTTATAAGAGACCAAGCACGGTGGAAACGGGAGAGGCGATCCCGGAAAGGGGGAACCGAATCCTGGAAGCCGGTTGAGGTGCCGTCCTCGACCGCACCTTCAAAAGGTTTGCCTAGGCCCTGAAGGTGGCCTAGGCTGGCCCTGGTTCTGACCGGGTTGAGGGCCGGTCGACCTTCGCCTACCGCCTCGACCCCGCCTCCTAGCAAAGTCCTGTCTTGGACGAGGCGGGGGAGGGTAGAACCGCTGAGGCTAGGGATAGTGAAGAGCAGCTATGCCGCGGTTCACTGTTCCAACGACCGTCAGGGGCGGTAAGAAGGAACTGAGGGGGCGCTGGGTCGGCTGGGGTATATATCCAGCGCCATAACGGCGCCACTCCAGGGGGCTCCACAGCCGACCCACCGGGTGTTGCTAGGGTAAAAATCTTCTGACGATCGTGCACGCGGCGCGCACACACCTAACTGGAATGGATATGAGCAAGCACTCGAAGAAGAATAATACCTTCTCTTTGTTAAATACATACTTAAAGATTAGGTAGCAACTTTACCAGTGACATAAGTACAATGGTACTTATAAGTACAAATTCTGCCCTATATATGCATGCAAAAACACTCACTGGACCAAATTCTTATCATGTAGAACACAATAGCAAAATACACATGGACTCCTGCGGGCCCAAGATCTGTCCCACTGACTGCAATGGAAGCTGCATGCATGTAACCACAGAACACAATTTGCTCAACTAAATTTAGTAATAGTCTTCATGCACATTTTTACTTTTATTACACCAATAAAATATAAAAATCTTCTCATCACAAAGCATCTTTTCAGACACTGAGAGCAGCACAGTGTCACCTTTCATTCCTGGCCATGGTTTATTCCTCCATTAAACCCAGCCAGGCAGGGCCGGTGCTACCATTTAGGCAAACTAGGCGGTTGCCTAGGGCGCCAAGATTTGGGGGCGCCAAAAAGCGGTGCCCCCAATTTTTTTTTACATCGTTCCTATGCCCCCTCCCCGAGCACGCGGTCGCCGCTCCACTTCTCCCGCCTCCCAGGTTTGCAGCGCCAATCAGCTGTTTGGCACCGCAAGCCTGGGAGGGGAGGAGAATTAGAGTGGGGGCGACATGCTCAGGGAGGAGGCGGAGCAGAGGTGAGCTGGGGTGGGGAGCTGCCGCACAGCTCCCCGGGCCAGGGGGGTGGGGAGCTGCCACGGGGGTGCCTCGGGAGGGGTGGGGGGAGCTGCCGCAGGGCTCCCCACCCCAGCTCACCTCTGCTGCGCCCCCTCCCCGAGCGGGGCGGGGGGGGGGCCGCAAGGTGGAAGTTTCACCTAGGGCGCGAAACTTCCTTGAACCGGCCCTGCAGCCAGGTCATGTTCCTGTGTACGTCTCACTATCTAGTCAGTGGTCAGCCTCTAGATCTCATTGTCTTGGTTGCTTTCACACACTCTCTTTTGGCATCCTATCATCTCTTTGTCTTCTATAGCGTCCCCACTATTGTAATCTTTTTGAATGCAGTTAATCCCGTACGCGGACTTCACATTCTACACTCCTAACTTTATTTGTCTTAAAATCATTCCACTTTACACCTGCCATCTTCCGAATAACTCTCATCTCTACTGCCTCCAGCCTTCTGATGTCTGTTTTCATTTAATGCAACTGCTCCCAGACCACAGAGTAATACTGTTAGTACACTGGTTTGATAAATTTTCACTTTGGTACCAAATGTACTATTTTTATCAGCACATCTCCTTTTAACCTTATCCTTGCTGGAACTATCGGCACTTATCAAGCTTGCTAGGTACACATAAGATTTTACTTGTTCTGAGACTCCACTGCTGCATTTCAGTACTTGATCTATTGTCCCTTTTCCAAGATAAAATAAATGCCAAGAAGATGAAGTGGTTGTAAATCCAAGCTGACTACACCAATTTACCAAGGTAGCGAAGAGTATCATTAATTGAAACATGTTTATACATTGTCATCTGCATAAGCTAAGGAGCTTAACTCCAGATCACCCAACATCACACCCTCCAACTCACAGGCGCCGACTTTCCATTGTGCTAGGTGGTGCTGGACCCACCTACCCTGCCTGCCCCAGCCCCATCTCTTCCCACCCTGTTCCGCCCCCTCCCCCGAGCGCGCCGCATCCTTGCTCCTCTCCCCTCCCCCCATCCTCCTGCATGCCACAAAACAGCTGATTGTGGTAGGCAGGTGGTTCTGGGAGGAGGGGGTGGTGCTGATAGGGGGGATGCCGGTGGGTGCTCCAGCCCCCACCATTTTTTCCCCATGGGTGCTCCAGCCCTGGATAACCCAAGGAGTTGGTGCCTATGCTCCAACTTGTTTGCCATTCTTAAGGTCCAATTTAAGAACATCATGATGCCCCTTTGTCTTGCACCAAACTAACTTGAACCACTTGCTTAATTTTTCACCAATTCTTACAGCATGTAAGAATGAAGGTATTAAGGGCTAAATTCCACTAACTCCTAGGAGTGATGTAAGGACAAATGACATGGTGGGTCTGGTGATATTCAGCACTAGAATCTTCTCTTCAGCTCAGGGCAGGATCACTCAAGGTGGCCATGGGGAAAAATATGTTCTTGAGTGTCCTTACTGCTGCTCCAAAAAGGAGTAGAACACACAAGCAGCTAGTACTGCATACTGCAGAATGCATCCAGGAACCTGGGGCCTGACTTCCCCCAGCTAAAAGATTACGTCCCCTTGAGGTTGTAACATACTAGTAAAAGCAGTAGCTTGTTCCCCCAATATAATATTCTTGTAATCTTGTCCTGAAGCTGCATAGGGGCGAGAGGGAAGTGGCTATATCTACCTTCTGCTCCTACTACAACATATACACAGAAGGGGGCAAGATTTTGTATTAAACCTGTGAAGTTCTTGCGGAAGTCTCAGTCTGGACCAGAGCCAGGTTACAAGACAGAAAGCCTGCCTCTATACTAGTATATATAGGACCAGAATCCATTGCCAGCACTAGAAACAGTGGAAACTATACTGTAGACAGAATTCAGGAGTTTTAATCACTGTATCACATAACCATGCTCTGAACAAACCACGTGGTGGTAAAAATGCCTGAACCCTGTTTTATCGTATGAAAATCAGTGGCAAATTACAGGGACTATTTTTGGTAGGGTAGAGAAGGCCCAAGAGGCTAGCATGTCCTTGTTGCCCCATATAGTGGGCCCATTTTCACTCTATCAACTTAATAAATATTAAAGCTAGATATTCACCAAAACAAATAATTCTAGTCTCTAACTTTCCAACCTCAGAAATGGAGAGCCTTTCACTTTAGATTCCTCAATCCTTACTGGTGATAGATGTTACTTCCTGAACAAATGGCACATATAATATTAAACTTCATGTTATTTTAAGTGAAAAGCCACAAATTATCCAACATCTATGATTACTGTAGCTGCCTCTAGATTATGCGACTCTTTCATTTCATGTGTCAGGGAGAGTCCTTTTTGGCATTAACTATGTCCATTATTCAGAAATACCAGCAGCTTTAAATTTTACAAACCTTTAAAATGAAAGAGGCCTACCTTAACATCAAAGTTGCAGTCAAGTCTTCTGATTAACACAATGAAAGCATTGGAGGAGTTGTCTTTCAGTGGTGGAGGTGCTATGGGCTCACATGCATTCTCTGGTTTTGAATTTATTAGGAAGCCCTGAAACAAAGTCACAGCATACTATCAGTTCTAGCTCTATGTGACATAATGCAAGTGCTAGGGAAAAATCATACTTTCAAAAGAAAGCCAAGCAAATTCCTGGAGCTCAATCTTGTATCACTGAATTTTACATTATATTACATTTTATTTATTTACATAGGATCTTTAATACCAAAGTGCTGCTTGGGGTTACAGAGAAAACACAATGTCAAACTGAATATATACATGAATTTCCCTTAATTTTCCTGTTTGCTTGTAAATAGTTACTAATGTCACTTCAGAATTTGCAGAATTTCTAGTGTATGTATAGTTCAGTATAGGGAACACTGCACATAGCACAGTAACATTATCAAGATAATTTTTTTTTAAGGCCTGCTCACTGTAATTAACAGAACCACAGGCACACTAAGCCAACAAGCACTACCAAAGAGGGAAGACGAGGAACATCTCTATACTTGTAAAAGTACTTACTAGATTTGCATTTACATGTGCAAGGTTTTTACAAGGTTTGCAGTGATACATGCACACTTATCAGAAGTTAAGGGCCATAACATCCCCCACAAGAGGGAAAATCATAAAAGGACCAGGAAATTCCATGAATGTTGACTCCTGGGGCATTCTGTCGATTGTCCCACCATAAGGTTTGGTTTGCACTCAACCATGGGACACAGATTGGGTGTGACCCTCTTAATCTGCAGATGCTTTAAGATCCACTGAAAAATCCTGCAGTTTTTAGGACCTTGGCAAGGACAGAGACATGTTTATAGTGGCTGAATGTCCTGGCCCTAATCCCTCTTTGCGCTGCCATGGTTCCATGTTGGCTGCTACCCAGACATCATTACCTCATGAGAAGGTAATACCACAACGCTGATAGGGAAGCAACATAAGATAATGCTTGAAGAAATGCTATGCATACCTCACGCTGCAAATCAGTCAAAGGTGGAAGACTTCTGGAGAGCAACCTTAATCCTATCTCTGACACTTTACTCTTAACATGGAGATTTGACCCCATGAAGTATCTGAAGAGGGTCTGCCCAAGGATCAGTGGAAGTGGGAATGTACCTCAGAACTGCTGCGGCTCATTTGTGTGACCCGTACACCATTTTCATCCACTTTAGGTCCCCTGAACATATCAAGCAGAGAAGACAACTGGGCCCTAACAGATTTTTTCAATATACAGTACAATATCTTGGCATTCCTGAACTTCTAGCATTTGAAATGGTGGTGGACAAAGTCAGTGGCACTGATGCCATCTGAATTAATTGGAGCTGTATCTTAATTTAATTTCCTTAAAGGGAAAGTGTCATTCAGAATCATAGTCAACATTTTTCAAATGTGTTGAATAATCCAGAGTTATTGTTGGGTGTTGAACTTGAAACACTTCAGGATTGATTTTCAGAAGTGCTTAGTATTTACTGCTTCTCTTGATGTCACTAGGAGTTGCAAGTACTTTGTACCTCTGAAGAAGCAGGTCACTTATTTTGCTGCCTTAATACAGATTTAGGCACCTAATTTTAGGCATGCAGGCTTGAATATGCTCAAAATTTAAAAAAAACTATGGTAAAATATAATTTATCACTATAAATTTTTATATCAGTTGTCGAAAATCAATATTTTTTAAAAATTGTCTTTTTGCAGTCTTGTATCCTAAATATAAAAGTTGACTGTCTCCTAATGGTAACAAGGAAGTTTAAGCCTAAAGCTTAGCAAGACATAATGAAAGTGTCTGGAATTGTTTGAAACATGAATAATTTGAACGTACTGAGTGGATGGTTTTGTTTTTTTTTAAATCCATGACTTGTCAAGACTACACCATACTCGGCAAGCCAGTCTGACAATTTTTTTTAATTAGTTTTAATTAATAATGCATCACCATATGATAATATACAGAGTACAAGATCATTAAAACAGTATAAAATGTTATTCACCTGTTGGACAAGGCAGAAGAAGCGTAACACCAGGCAATCAATAGTAGAGCAATACCAGGAAGACAGCCATGCTAAAGCCTTTTTAGCATAGTGGAGATCTTGAATGTTAATATAAGGAAATTAAAAGATTCTACTTTATTTTCATTTTGTAACTTTCCATAGCTGCAGGCCTTCTGATTCTAAGGGGGGAAGTAAGCTGCCTTTTGCTGACAAAATAGGAGAGGTGTACACACCACAAAACTACTTTTGGTGGCAAACCTCTGTTGTTTTGCTGACAAAATAAAACTCTCTCAATGAGAGGCATAAAGCTTTTTGCAGCAAAGTTAAACCAAAAAAGTGTCAGTGTAGACATTGCTGTTTGTTTTGTCAACATAACTGGCTTCCTAGCCCTGGCCAAAATGGTCATCTACAAAACCAGGGAGAGGAGGTTGGCTGACACGGTTTCCTGCGACTCTGGGGCCTATTTCTGCTCCTCAATCCATTCACGCATCCGGGCAGAGTTCCTCTGGGTGGCGTCCGCTGGCTCCCTTGACACCTTTGAGGAGCAGTGGGCGCTGTCTGGGGTTCTCTGCTCGGTGTCCCCGTCAGGTTCCCTTCGTTTAGCCCTGTGACCTCACTCCTGTTCCTGTTATCTCCTTAGTTGTCCCCCGCAATTATTTGGAATCCCAGACCTGTGGATCCTCCCCTTAGGCTGGGGGGAGGTCCTTTAGCAGTGGGCAGGCTTCCGTCCGCACACTTCCTGGATCCCAACAGGACTAGTATCCCACAATGCCTGCAGTGACTGCTTTGCTCACTGTTTTGACCTCTGCTGCACTGCAGGCATACGTTCCTCCCCTTTCAAAGCTCCAGGAAGAATCTGACAGCTGAGTGTGCTGCTCCATTTGGGGAACAAAGAGCAAACCATTAATGTGGAATGCTCCTGTTCTGCCCTGCACTAGGAACACCGCCACAGGCAGACTGCTGTGGTGGGGATTGGGGGGGAGGGAGTAGAGACTGCTGTGACACTGTACCTGCCCCATGAGGCATTGCAAACCCTTCCCAAAGCACCCTGTGGCCAGTTGTACAGTGGGATAGCTACCACAGTGCACTGCGCTCTGTGTCGATTCAAGAGCTATTAGTGTGGATGCACTCTGCCGACACAAGGAACTAATGTAGACATGCAACAGTGGTTTTAATTAAAGCGGTATAACTTTTGCCAACAAAACTTTGTAGTGTAGACAAGGCCTAAGAGAGTGGGAAGGGAAGAGGAGAAACAGGAAAAGAATAAAAGCATTTACTCTTTTTCTCATGTACATGCAAATTATAGGAAGCTGTGCTGTTGTGGATCAGAAAATTAAAGTTACAACGGTCAAGTTGTATTTTTACAGGTTATTAGCATCATTCATACATATTCCTTAGACTTCTCTCAATTTTCACAGAACTCTGTCTCTCTCCAGAAAGGGACTGTATTGTTTGTGGCTAAAATTAAAAAGTATAGTATAGTAACTCTTCAAAGTAATTGGCTAATCATCGACAACTACTGTTACTGATTGTTGTTTATTTAAATAAACAACAAACGCATTTAATACAATGTAGGTTTCAAAAGTAATTCTTCAGTAATTCCATTTTAAGTCAACATTCATTAACATGTCATTATTTTAGAGCAGTGTTTCCAGCAGCTCCCACTGGCCTGGAGCAGCGAACCGCAGCCAGTGGGAGTCACGATTGGCCGAACCTGCGGATGCGGCAGGTAAACAAACCGGCCCGGCCCGCCAGGGGTTTTCCCTAAACAAGCGGCGTCCCAAGTTTGGGAAACACTGTTTTAGAGTACTACAACCCAAATATTGCAGCATTGTTTTAATGTAGGAGCTCCATTAAGCAAAACAGATTATAAACCAAAGCAAAACTTATTCTTTTTCATTGTCCAAAGGAAATATAAAAAGCATGAAAAGTAAATTTGATTTTTAAAATTCTTTAGATTTAATCCTAATTAGAAATAAGATACTTTGTTTTGAAAAATATATGATCTTTAAAATTAGTGTTCCTTTAAGCAATCGGGTCTTTGCTGAGTTTGTGGTGACAGACACATTACACTGTCTGTAACTATTAAGAGCAATATCCACTACAAATTCTGCATCATTCTGCAAGGAACCAAGGTTAGGTTCCCCCAAGTTTACTGCAATGGATGGAAAGGTACTGACACATACAGCAACTGTTACTTTTATTAGGTAATTGCTTATAAAATATTCACTTTATTTTAACTAGAGTAATAAATTGGGGTCTTTAATCTGCTTTTAGAGAGAAGCTTTAGGCAAGTCATACCAGGCTACATTATAGAAAAATAGCTGCTCAAGTTAAGTACATGCAAATATAGAAATTGAAGGGTATGTTTCAATAAACCAGATGGCATTTATTAAGAAAATGTCAACATCTAACATGAAGAATGTTTAATGAAGGAGCTGTTATACAAGGGCTCTCAGCCAGAGATGGTTCCATATGAATGGATCATTGTAAGTGAAAGAAGAATTTACTACTTTTGTTGTACTCTTTGGCACCAGCTATTTCAGTAGCTGATAAATAATTATATTTACAATCGGTAGATCAACTGACAAAGCCTGATCATAAGCATCAAATAATAATTACCACCATTTTGAATCTACACCAGCAGCTATAACAGCAATTTTTAATAAACAGAAAAATGAAAGGGTTTCAGTACTACTTTCAGGAATTAAGGATCAGGACAGTTTACACCTATCACTCATCTGCAACTGGCTTAAGCAGATCAAGAGAGGCAGTGTGTCTAATGGTTAAAGGGTCAAGAGTTAAGAATCCTTATTTCTTTTTCATCTCTGCCACTGGCTCATTGTATGTACTTGGGCAAATTAATTACTCTGTGTCTCAGGGCTGGTCTACACCGAACTTACATCAGAATATCTATATCTCAGAGGGATGTAAAATCCACATCACTGAGAGATGTAGCCATGCCAGCCTAACCCTGGTGTAGACAGCAGTAGGTTGATGGAAGATTTTTTCAATTGACCTAGCTACCACCTCTTGGGGAGGTAGATTAACTACAGCGATGGAAGAACTCCT